TTTCTGTAACGACTAATGAGCTTGAGCAGCTTTTCTTGTGCTTAATGGCCATCTGGATATCCTCTTTTGTGAAATAAATGTTTGTTCTCATCGCCTGCCAATCTCTTAATTGCACTCTTTTTTTTTTTTTTTTGGTTTGACTGGCCTTCTCTAGTCTGGGTATGTATACACACAGAGGTTCTGTCTTGGAAATATCTTCTTGTCTTTTCACTTGCTTCACAGCGTCTCCTAATGAACAGAAACAACTACTCTACCAGCATTTATTAATGTTTTCCTTTACAGTTAATATTTTTTGCATCTTAAGAAATTTTTGCTTGGGCCTCCCCCGGTGGTGCAGAGGTTGAGCGCTGGGCTGCGAAGCTGCCCGCAATCTCTGCAGCACCGGTTCGATCCCCGGTCACCGGCGAGGGTCCCACATGGCGCGACAGACCTCTCCTGCCGCGCCCACTGCTCCCCTTAGCAGTGTGCTTCGTCAGCCTGCCTGTTCTGTTCCCCGCTCTGTCTCTGGTGAATTCTCTCACCCTGCCACACCTGACTGTACCCAGTGCTTGTATAAATAAAATAAATAAATCTTTTAAAAAAAAAATCTCTGCTTATTCCAAATGCTGAATGTTATCTTCTAGAAGGTTTATTGTTTTACCTTTCACATTTAGAATTCAAATCTCTTGGGCTTGAGATTTTGTGTGTGGTGTGAGGTAAGCTTAGGCCAAGAGCCTTTCTGCCCACAAGGCTATCTGACTCAACAGAACTTAACGAAAAGAGATCCTTTCCTGGCAGTCCCGTGGTATCACCTTGTCATAGATCAAGCGTTTGAATGTGTGGGCCAGTTTCTGGACATTTATTTCCGTTCCATTTATCCATGTGTCTATCCTTGTGCTAACACTAACACTGCCTTAATTATTATAGTTTTCTGCTAAATCTTGATTATCTAGTAGTGTAATTCTTTCAAATTTATTTTTCTCATTTAAAAATGCATTAGTGGGCCTCCCCTGGTGGCGCAGGTGGTTGAGCGCCATGCTGTGAAGCTGTCCCACAGCCTCTGCAGTGCAGGTTCGATCCCGGCTGGCCGGGGAGACACCCACATGGCGCAGCAGACCTCTCCTGTATCGCCCACTGCTCCCCTCAGCAGTGTATTTCAGTCAGTCTGCCTGTTCTGTGTTCTGCCACTTGCACACTGGCTAAGAGAACAGATGCTCTGTCTCTGGGGAATCCTCTCAGCCTCCCACACATCTGACTGTACCCCATTTTGGTATGCATGAATAAATCTTAAAAAAAAAAAAATGCTTTAGTTATTCTTAATCCTCTGTCTAGGTTAGCTTAATTCTCACAAAGATCCTGCAGGTAAAATAGTTAGGATTTTTATTTCAATTTCATAGACTACTAAATTCAGAGGAGTTAAGCAGTTTGTACAGGGTCCTACAACTATCAAGTATAGGGGAGGGATAAAAACTCAGACTTGTCTGATTCTGGACCTAAATAGCTACAGCCTCCTTAGTCCTCAAGCCAGGTAACCCCTTCAGGACATTTAATATGAGTGTGTTACAATTTTAAGAAATGCCATTGTTCTAAACTATCTACTTTCAGTCAAAAATTTTATTGGTCACTATCAAAATTTCTGGTGAAATGCTGGAAAATAAAGCACAAGAGGCCAAAGCATCTTGGAGTCCTTCCACAGCTCCTTCGTCTCCAGAGGAACAATCATCCCCTCACCTGAACTGCTAGGGCCCAGGGCTGGCACCCTTCAGCTCTCCAGCTTTAACCCGCAAAGATCTTTCTTGACTCTAAAGCCACACTCGACTACTGACTTCCTCTTAGTATGTCAGGTCTCACTGGCTGCACCTTTGCTCACAATGGCCTCTCCCTCTCCTGGCTACTTCCTTTTTCTTTAAAACCTGGGTATCACTTCCCCTGGAAGGCCTTCCAAAACCTTGTCTGGTATGGGCACGCCTCCTCCATGTCCTGCATCTAGCCTGTCACGCTCCTGGGGTGTAGCTGTCTCCCCATCTAGACTGCAAGGCCCCTGAGGCTGGGCCAGCACAGTCAATGTGTTCTGCCACTTGCACACTGGCTAAGAGAACAGATGTTTGCTGGAGAGGCCTGAGAGAAACCAGAGACAGACGTTTTTTCTGCGTGCAATAATTCAATACAGACTCTAAGAGGAGTCCTGAGAGAAATGATTTCTAATAGGTCTAGGACGCAGCGGATTCGAAAGCTATGGTAGAATTGGCGAATTAGAGCTTAGGGAAGAGGCGGAAGTACCTTCCGTGATGGATGGGAACTTTCAGTTGAGATAGAAATAGAGCTGACAGATATGAGTCAGAGAGTAAATGGCTATATGTAGTAAGCCATTAAAAGTCTTCATAAAAGGTAAACTATTCCCATGAAGTACACAATTAAACTAAAAACAAGGCAGGTTCTTCTGAGCTGCCCACTCAACATGCTGCGAGTCTAGGACCGAGGGGAGCTGTTTCTCTCCTTCATCATTTTTGAAAGCGAGGCTTTAATAGTGAACAGGGCAAGAAGGCATTAGAAGAAGTGGTGTCTCCTCTCTAAAGGGGATATTTTCCATATAACGACATTCCATAAACTGTAAGGTGTCCTAATTTTGCAGTAACTCCCATTTTTATGGCCACTCTGTTCACTCGCAGACAGAGAGGGATTAACAGTCTTGCTCTAGTCATCCACATTCTTCTTGGCTTTCTGGCTTAGCTGTACTCAAAACAAGGGCTTGCTTTTCCTTCTTTAAGAAAATCAGAATCTAGGACATCCCAGGGGTGTGGATGTTTTGGAGAGCAGATAATCTTCTGGCATGGTAATTATTACTCTTAATTAGCTATTTTTCTAAAAAAAAAAAAAAAAAAAAAAAAGAAATGGGGATTTGGTTGACATTTGGACAGCTTAGGCGATTTACAAAAATCTTCAAATTAGAAAAGACTTTGTCTCCAATTTATGCCTTATGTTAGAAATAAATGTCAGAGAGTAGGCACTCATGCGGGAAACTAGATGCATCTGATCCACACTTGCAAATCCCCTCCTATCTTTCCCAGAGAGGACTGCTACATGGGTTGCTAAGATGAATGACTGATTCATTCTCTGGCCTGATATGAATGTCTACTCAGAACATTTTCTAGTTTGGGCAGCGGAAGCTACTGGGGAAAGCAAATGAAAAGCTGGCTGGGACTCCACAAGCGCCACTGTTGCAATGTGCTTTCTCCACCACACTGCTACAGGCGCACCAGGACAGTAGGGTCCAGGCAAGCCACGTGTGACTGCACGGGGTGCACTGCGGGACATCTGGATTAAGCTCCTTTGATGCCCAGGAGGTCATCTTGAAGATCCCCTTGAACGTTAGCAGACCCTGGCAGATGCTGGCGATTGGGGCCAAGTTTGTGTTAGTGACATGAACTCCACGGTACTAAGACTGTAGAACCCAGCTGGGCTAGATATTTGCAAAAAGAAAGCAGGGGCCTAAACAGAATCTCTTGAGCAGACTCACAGTTGCCACAGGTGCCAGCAACATCCTCACCTTCCTAGCAATAGAGACAAGGGGGGTGAAAATACAAACCCTGACCCACCAAATCCATTACTGGTTTTTGATTTAGAGAAAAAAGAATTGTTTGGTAACTTTAGCTGCCTGAACAGAAATTAGTTCCTGAGAAGCTAGAAGCTGTGTCTGGAAAGGGATCTGGGGGGATCGTGGAGCGGAGGGCTAGAGAAGGAGGATGGTCAGGAATCAGGCTTGTGTGTGATGGACCCAGACCCATATCAATAGAACAAGAGCTGCTTCGAGGACTCCATAATGGGAGGCAGCAACAATGTGCTCCAAAGCAGACCTAATGCTTATGGGCAGAGGGACAGACTGACTGCTTCAGGACAGAGGGACCTTTGCATAGATTTTTAGTGAAGTCTACTGTAGGGACGTTGGCTGAAATCCCAGGTTTTTACATTTGTTTTCAAAGGAGGTATGGCCTTCAAATATAATACATGGAAAGTGACAATATCCTGATTTTCAGGGGTAGTTACCATACACAGAGAATAACTTCAAATTTGCAAACCAGGCTGCAAAGGAAGCGGGAAATGAGAGTTTAGATGGGGTTTGTTAGGTGATGCCATTTCTTTTCTTCACTTTAGTGTCTTTTCCAAGTTTTGAACCACGGGCCAAGGGTGGGCCTCCTGTTCTGTCTTCTGTCTCAAACTGATGGAAGTGTGGGTGACCACCCCAGAGCCACGTCCACACTACTGAGTTTTCATCCACGCTGTCATCTCTGACACCTCCTTACCAAATGTCAACTGGGAGAAGCTAAGGATGGCCCACTCTCGATTGAAGCAGGTATGTAAAACAAAGACTGAGGAAATCCTGCAGCTACAAACTTCAGAGTCTTTTTTTTTGTGTGTGCTTCCTCAGAAAGATACTCTATCCTATTTCTAGAGCTTTTCAAAGCTGGAAATTTTCAAACGTGAGATGACGTTAGATTTTGATTAAATGAGGGCTTTGTAAAACAATGAATGATGATCACAGAAAGGAAAAAATCAGCCTCGTTAAAAGCACATCCAGCAGGAGGTTAAATAGAGCAGATCCTTGCAGAAAGAGCAGGGATTATGCTAACAGGCCCCCCCTGCGTGAGTGGAGAGTCTTATTCCCAACGCTCTGCCCACCTTACACTCACCCCATGGTTATATAACCCTTAGACCGGAATGTGGAAATTCTTCTGACCCTGCCCTGTCTGCTGATAGAGCTGAGCCAGGAGCTGGCAGGGGCATAATCTAATAGGCAAACTGGAAACACAAATTCACAGCCCTCTTGTCTCAGCCCAGAGACAGCAGGCAAGGAAAGAAAGACTCGGAAAGAAAGACTCGCCACTGTCTCCCTCCTCCCCTCCTCTGGCCTCAGTTCACGCTGACTTCACCCAACAGGCACCTGGCCCTCCCAGATGAGCTGGGAGGGGCTCAAGCACCATGCACAGCCATGGCTGGGGTGGAGGTGCAGGCAGGAGACAATATTTAAGAGTTTGGAGAGCATTCCGGCTGGGGAAGGAAAGCTGTAGGGTCCCCAATTAAGCTGCACTAGAAGGAGCAAGGAAAGAAAGAAAACAGCAAAGCAGTGAGCCCATCACGAGTGAGTGCAAGGCTGTAACTGGCTGCAGCTCTGCGAACCTCGGCTTTGCGAACCAATTCCCCCAAAGGGAGACCATCCTTCACCCAGGCCCACAGAAGATGCTGAAAAGGTGTCTCTCAGCTGTCGGCTGGCTCTGCGTTTTCATTGCAGTCTTTGTCAGCCACCCAGTCTGGCCACAGAAGCCCCCGAAGCAGAAGACACCAGCAAAACTCAAAGCGGTTGCCTGCTGTGAGGAGGTGAAGGAGCTCAAGGCCCAAACTGCCAACCTCAGCAGTCTGCTGAGCGAGCTGCGCCAGAAGCAGGAGCAGGACTGGGTCAGCGTGGTCATGCAGGTGATGGAGCTGGAGAGCAGCAACAAGCGCATGGAGTCTCGACTCTCAGATGCCGAGAGCAAGTTCTCCCAGATGAACAACCAGATCGACATCATGCAGCTGCAGGCGGCGCAGACTGTCACGCAGACGTCAGCAGGTAAGGGGCGCGGTCCGTGCTAGGGCCTCCGTGGGTAGCATGGCTCCTAAGTAACCCGGTCATCAGACCACTGCCAGGAGCGCTCATGGGATGTACTTACTTTCTAGAGGACAAGGCCCTGGCTGTCTTCCTCCTTAGTAGAGGCTCAGGTAGTATTTCTTTAGATTCCTAATGTTCTGTCAACTAACCTAGCACCTTCGTGGTCAGCACACTGACCAGGCCCTGTCTTCCTGGCAGGTGTCCTTGCTTACCTGGGGCTGAAAGGAAGCAGGAATGAGCCAAAACCCAAACTTGCTTTGGAAGTCAAGTTTTGCCAACAACTGTCCTCTTACACCTCGGGGCTCAGTGAGATGGGCACGGATGGAACTGGGGGTCCTCTCTCTGCAAACCTAAGTCTTCCACTGTCTCAGAATTGACAGAGACACTGCTCAGAGTCATTTGAAGAATTCTTTGATTCAGGAAAAGACAGGTCCCTCAATTCTGGTATTTCTATTTTTCCCCAAGACAACACATGAAATTATCCCCAGATTACACAGGAAATAAGAAAATGCAATGCTGAAATTTTGATTGTTAGTAGGCCCAAGGTAAGATGTATCTATCTATCTTTTGTGAAATAACTTTCCTCAGATGGGCCAAGAACAATTTATTGTTTAGAGAGAAATCTGGTTTTCTGAATCATCGGAAAATTAGAAGTTGTAAGGAGCACATCTCATAGGTCTGTCCTTTCTTGCTGATATAAATACCTTCTGGCCACACAGTAAGCCAAGGCAACAAGAACACAGAGCCCAGTCACCAGTCACCCTTGCACAAACGAAGAAAAAGTTTTCACATGAAATCAAGCTTAAAAAATGCTGCTATCGGGCCTCCCCGGTGGCGCAGCGGTTGAGCGCTGGGTTGCGAAGCTGCCTGCGGCCTCTGCGGTGCCGGTTCGATCCCCGGCTGCTCCCCGGCCACTGGAGGAGGGTCCCACATGGCGCGCAGACCTCTCCTGCCGCCCGCTGCTCCCCTCAGCAGTGCACTTCGGTCTTTCTGCCTGCTCTGCTCCCCGCTCTGGCTCTGGTGAATTCTCTCACCCTCCCGCGCTTCTGACTGTACCCAGTGCTTGTATAAACAAAACAAACAAACAAACAAATAAATAAATTAAAAAAAAAATGCCTCTATTTTAAAAAAAAAAAAAAACCAAAAAAAAAAAACCGCTGCTATCGAAACCAACATGTCTAAATCTCGTTCTAGGCATGCACTTCCTGACCCCTGGTTTGGGAGCAGAAAGGCCTCCTCAGGCTATTTTCCAGAAGAATGGGTTGCGATTTAATCTGTGAAATTACACCAGGCCAGATGGGGTCTGATAGGCCACGGGCCGCTCCTCCAAACAGGACTTTCTCACCACCCAGCAGGCAGTGTCTTGGGGGGCCCAGGCGTAGATTTCCCGCCTCTTACTCTGCTTGCCCAGAACCCTGCTCCCTGCTTTCCTGTGTGCCATCAGGTGCTGGGCCACCTGCAGACTCTAGGGAGCCCTTGGGGGAAGAAGCATGAGTTGGCGCAGGCAGCAGGAAAATGAACAACTCTGAGGGCTGTTGAAGGCCAGCGACTCCCCTTCCCCTTTCCCCTGAGCCCTCCAGAAACGTGCCCCACCTGCCCTCGGCACGTTCTCCAAGGCCCAGTGCGGTGGTTGCCAGAAAGAAGAGAGGCCAACACAGGGCAGGAAGGGTGTCTCCCGGCCAGCAAGAGACCCCGCTGACGCCTAGGAGGAAAGCTGCCCTTCAGCAAGGCTCTCCACACTCACAGTAGAGACAAGACCTGGCACACAGCAGCGGCCCCAGGGCAGCCAGGAAGCCTTTGCCAGTGAAGACCAGCCTGCGTAGCTCTCTCTGCTGTGATCATGTGGCCAGGGGAGGGCCCAGGGGTTCCTCCGGGTGTCTGCACTTTCTTTTGAGAATCTAGCAGTGTTAGAGTAAGTTCGTAACGCAGTTCTAGGAGGCAGTGCTCACTGCCTCTGAAAAACCAAGAAACAATAGAACCAGCCCCCGGGGCAGAGACTCTGTGACTACTGAACACGTTACTTGGCCCTCACACATGGGTTTCTAGAACCCACGGCCGAGAGCAGAGAACCAGAGGCACATTCTTGCTGGTTGGGTTGATGCTATCCAGGTGAAGGGTGTCCCCAGCCCCACCTCCAGGGAAGTCAAAATCCACCCCTTCTCGGTCCCCAAAAGCCCGGCTCTGCCATATCCAGACACTGCCTATAATTAACACTCAGGCAAGTTTTGTGGCAGAACCGAAGTCTGTCTTTAGACTTTCAGCTGAGAGGAATGCCCACTTGTCATGGCGCCCTGGCTTGGGTGCTCAGCCCTGTGGTCTGCTCCTTTTGCAGACGCCATGTACGACTGCTCTTCCCTCTACCAGAAGAACTACCGCATCTCCGGCGTGTACAAGCTTCCTCCGGACGACTTCCTGGGCAGCCCTGAGATGGAGGTGAGGTTGCGACAGCCCGTGTTCCGCACCTGCCCCACGCCCCCCAGGGCTGGTCACAGACTAAAGAAAGGGACGCGCAAGTCAGAGAAGCAAACACGCCGCGCTGGAGAGTTACCTGATGCTTGATGGGGGGTGGGAGGGCACCCAGGCTGTTTTGCCCCTTCAGATCATTATCAAGCAAGCCCCAACCCCGTAACAGATCAGACCGTCCCATAACCGCCACGAACGTGCCGAGACCACCTGTCCTGTCCGGGTGCAGGTCTTTGGGGAAGAAGAAAAAGAGAAGATGTAGGGGGTTCACCAGGGACACCTGGATTTTCTCCCCTCTAAACTCACGAGCTCGCCTCTATCTTCAATTCTGACAATTCCTCCTCAGCAAAGCACCACCCTGCCCAGGTCACTCACACTGGGGTAGATGCGTTGCTAGCGTGAATGGGTGCCTGGAAGTGCTCTGTGGGGACAGGGGCAGGTGGGGAGCCCATCCACGTTTTGGTGCCCGCCTCTGCCGTCCTGACCAGAGCGCCGCTCCCCAGGTGTTCTGTGACATGGAGACGTCGGGAGGCGGCTGGACGATCATTCAGAGACGAAAGAGCGGCCTCGTCTCCTTCTACCGGGACTGGCGGCAGTACAAGCAGGGCTTTGGCAGCACCCGCGGGGACTTCTGGCTGGGGAATGACAACATCCACCGGCTCTCCCGACGGCCGACCCGGCTGCGCGTGGAGCTGGAGGTGAGCCTGGCAGGCCTGGGTCCCGAGGCCGGACGGGGCTGTCACACATGACACACGGGGGCGGGGGTGGGGTGGGGTTCCGATTCTAATTCACTCTAGGCTTGTTTGCTGTGGTGGTTTTCCTGAAGATGGCAGCACAGGTGAGGTAGAATAGTTTTTTCCTTTTTTTTTTTTTTTTTTAACAAAGCTGCAAGTACAGGATTCAGGAAGAGACTGAGCTCGCGCCAGAGATGGGTAGTCTTAACAGTCAGCTGAGGGAGACTCTGTGGTCCCCGCTCTGGCCTGGGCCATGAGTTCCCCTACGTGCAAAATTTATTGATACAGGTTGGCAAAGGCCATGAAACAAAAACACTGTTGTCAAGTTGCTCTCATGATGGGATACAGCAGAAACACAGACACTGTGTAGGCAGGTATGGGGAGGGCCCAGAAAGAGACCCTAATCAAGGCCACATGACGATCCAGGCGAGAAGTCTAATCTCGGAGCCTCTCAGGGTAGGATGAATAAGGTAAGGTCTAGGGAGGTGAACAAGTAACGAGGCTGCACCACTTCCCAGAGTAAAGATACACAGTTGTGGCTGAAGAGGGTGCAGGAGGGGCTGACGTGGAGCCCCACGCACTGTGTCCAAGGCCTGCCTCCTCCCTGACAGGACTGGGAGGGCGACGTGCGCTACGCTGAGTACAGCCACTTTGTCCTGGGCAATGAACTGAACAGTTATCGCCTCTTCCTGGGGAACTACAGCGGCAACGTGGGGAACGACGCCCTCATCTATCATAACAACACGGCCTTCAGCACCAAGGACAAGGACAATGACAACTGCTTAGACAAGTGTGCACAGCTCCGCAAAGGTGAGCTTTGGGGGTGACAGGGGGAGTTCAGGTACAAAAGCCCACAGTCCCACTTGAGAAGAAAGAGTGAGTTTATTCCTGCACAGCTGGGAGCCTGGCTTTGGTGGTCCTTTTAGATACTGGCTCTAACCGCTTCGTTACTGTTGAATAAACAACTCTATTCGGCAGCGCCTGAAGTCAGCCTGTTGGCTGTCGATGGGGAGCACACCTCGGCTGACTGACTTTGATCTCTGTCTGTGCTAGGTGGGTACTGGTACAACTGCTGCACGGACTCCAACCTCAACGGAGTTCACTATCACCTCGGAGAGCACACCAGGCACCTGGATGGCATCACCTGGTATGGCTGGCACGGGTCTAGCTACTCCCTCAAGCGGGTGGAGATGAAAATCCGCCCGGAAGACTTCCAGCCCTGAAGGAGGCTTGCTGTGGAACAGGATGGGGGAAATGGAAAAGAACGGAGGCTGGGCGAAGGTGGAGAAGGAAAGGCAGGCTCTGAGGAGCACAAAGCAGCGGGTACCCAGGATGTGACAGTGAATATGAGTACTTCAATGCAGCGGGTCCTGACACATACTTCTCGGGGTGGGGGTAGGGTGGGGTGGGGGTGGTCTGAGCAGCGCGCTCTGGCCCATGGCCCCTGACACAGCAGTGCTGTCTTCTCCATGGGAGTTTCCCGGGAAGGAAAAATAATGCAATCACTTTATTTTCTCTAAAGCTTGTGTCACATGATAGTAGAAAATAAACCTCTTTCTACAAGAAGTCTACGACTTTGATTCTTAAGGCAAGGCCCTGGTGTCAGAGCAAGGAATGGAACAGGGAGGTAGAGGAGGGAGCCTTTCTTTTTAAACTCAATGAAATTCGCGCTACACTTCTCTTTTTTTTAAAGACAAACATTTTTTGGCTAGAGCTGAGTGACCCAGGTAGGGCTTAGGTGGAGGAACCTGGGCACCGGGCCTGGCAGTTAGCCCCTGGGCCTTGGTCGGGGCAGAGCACTGAAAGGCAGGAAGGGACTAGTGGCTCCGGGAGCTCCAAAGGGAGGAGGTGGCAAGAATCCCTCAGGGCGCTCGTGTAGAACCGCCTCAAACATGTGCCATCAGTAAAGCCACTTTGTAAGAAAAGGACTCAAAGAGCTTTTCCCTCTTTTATCTTATACAAACAAAAATTGCTGAAAAATGAAGGTAGCTGGTCCTATAGTTAATAATTCATGCTGTATATAAGCATCCTGCTTTGTAAAAAGGAAACAGTACATTGTTTTAAATGTTCAGCTTCTTTTCCCTTCTACAATAAACTTTTAAAACTGTCGTTTTAAAAAATTGTTATTACTACTGGAGCACGGTAACAGTTTGGAGTAAAAGAGTCAGGGGGTGAGCAGTGACAAAGACACTCTGGGTTGCCGCGTCCCCAGGGATGCCAAGGGAGGATTAGGAGGCCAGAAAAGAAAAAAGCAAGGGACAAAGAGTACAGCAGCCACCAAAGAGGCCAGAGCCACCACCCACCCAGCTCCCACAGACCAGGGCTGGGGCCACCACTGGGCTCCAAAAGACTGGCAGCAAGCACCCCTGCTTCCTACCAGGGCAGACGAACACACGGGAGGGAAAGCAGCCCTGCCGGGCAGATGTGACTCTGGCCTGTAGGAATCAGTTTCCCCCTGACTATTCCCTTGAACTAGCCCATGTCAGAGAAGCCCTCATCCCTAGCAATGCCTATGGTACTTGCTTGTGGTTTCTGCTTGTGGAAACCTATATAACCCTATAAACAAGAATCTTGGCATTTTCAAAGAAATAAAGGGAGCAGAGAAGTACAGGAGAGCAGGGCTTCCCACAGGAAGGCATTTAAACTGAAGCTTCCCGAGGCAGGCGAGGGATCTGAGATGCTACATGATACTGCCAGGAAAGAGCCGGGGGTCGTGGAGGTGATGGGGAGGGAGAACACAGGATGCCTGTTCGTGGGCAGCTAGTTACATTCTCTCTCGTCAATGCCCACAACTGAAACAACAGGCTCTGGGCAGCAGAAGCTGCAATAAATAAGTGCGACCACCTCAAGCTAGAAAGCTGCTGAGCAGCGCACAACAAACTGGAAGTGCAAGCGACAGAACAGGAGGAAACTGTAATGCCTTGCAAACTGTAACGCCTCATACAGGGTTAATACCCCAGATATATAAAGAACTCCTACAACTAACAGCAAAATTACAAATAATCCAATCAAAGAACAGGCAAAGGACTTGAATATTTTCCCAAAGGAGACAGGCAAAGGGCCAACAGGTACTGAAAAAGAGGCTCAACACCACTAATCAGCAGGGAAAACACTAAAGCCGCGGTGAAGTGCTAACTCACACCTGTTAGAATGGCTCCCATCAAACAGACAAGACATAACATGTTGGGAGGATGCGGAGACAACGGAGCCCTAGGGCCCTGGGGTGGGAATGTAGGTGGACTCAGCCACGTGGAAAGCAGGTGACGGCTTCTCAAAACATGAGAACCAGAACTCCCATGTGATCCAGCACCCCCACCGCTGGTATTTATGGGAAGGAGACAAAAACACTAACTTGGAAATACACGTCCCCTATGTACACTGTGGCCTGATAAGATACGCAGCAACTCAGTCCTAGACAGATGAATGAATAAAGAAGATGGATGCTCACAGCGGAGCATCATGCAAGCATAAAGGGAAATCCTGCCATTCATGACAACACAGATGCCCCCGGAGGGTGTAATGCTAAGCGGAATAAGCCAGCTAGAGAGACAAGTACATGCGGCACACTGGTACGTACAACCTGAAAAATGAAAAAGCCGATTTCATAGAAACAAAGAAGGTGGTTGCCAGGGAACAAGGGAACATGGGGAGATGAAGGTCAAAGGCACAAACATCCTAAGATCTGAGGCGTCCAGCAGGGGAGAGGGAGGGAGAGGGCTCAAAACAGGGGAGAGAAGAGCACAAGGGACTGTGACGACGGTTCACGGGTGATGTGGTGGTGGAGATTTACGGGGACTACACCTGAGGGGAGAAATCAAATACTGTGCAGAAATGAACAATGATATAAGAAAATTTAAAAGTTTAATGAAAAAAAATAAAATAAAATGGGGGCCTCCCTGATGGTGCAAGTGGTTAAGCACAGCACTATGAAGCTGTCTGCAGCCTCTGCAGCAGGAGTTCGATCCCCGGCCAGGGGAGCTGACCCACATGGCGCAGCAGACCTCTCCTGTCTCCCCGCTCCCCTCAGCAGTGTATTTCAGTAGATCCACCTGTTCTACTCCCCACTCTGTCTCTGGTGAATGCTCTCATCCCCCACACTTCTGGCCTGTACCCCAGTTCTTGTATGCATAAATAAATAAATCTTTATAAAAATATATAAAATGTTTACAAAGAGGGCAAAGGGTGAAGAAAAATAAGAGTAGGAAGATTAAACCCAGCTGGAGGTGGGGATGGGCAGGCTTCAGGAGATGAACCAGGGAGGTGTGTCCCCAGTGCCCCCCAGAGGGCTGGGACGGAGTGGAGAGCAACTTCCTGACAGTACCTTTGCCTAAGGCTATTTCTAAAAACTTTCTTCAGTGAAGAGGACAGCAGAACCCCACAGTGGTAGTTAGGAAAAACAATTCTATAAAATCAGCAATGAAACTGCAAATGGGAACAGGCAAGAAGGGAGTGGGAAAACCCATGGGGCCAAGCGAAGGGCAGCGGCCTGCCCGCTGAGCTGAGCCTGGCGGGACAGACCACAGGCTCTGGGAAGCACTGACCTTACCTGGGAACTGAGCTGTGTTTTGTTTTAAAACCAAGGCCCATGTGCTGGGAATTCTGAGAACTTATTTTCAATTATACTGGCACACAAGGCTGCACGACCTCCTTGAACACGTTTCCAGGCCTCTGACTAAATCTTTCTACTACAAATGTGCATAAACATTAGCAATTCTCTGAGAGTCTCAAAAAATGGGGGGAATCTGGGGTGGGATGCGGGAGGTTTCAGAGCAGTGTCTGGTAAAGGTTAGCAAGGAAATGAATGGATAGAATGAGCTACTTGGAGAACTTACCAGACTCAGTTACCAGCTTTGTATCAGTGGTCAAGCGAGACCACAGTAAAGCTGGGGCAGGGGAGAAGGCAGCTTCCACACTGCTGTGCCCGCTGCGGAAGTGAGGCCCACCCAGATGCGGGCATGTTTGGAGCCATTCCTATGTGTTATTTTAGCAATCAACACTCCCTCAATGTCCAAAATGTGAAAAGGAAGACTTTTAAGCATCTACTCGAAAGCAGAGCGAGCCGAGGACCGGGCCACGTGGCCATCTTCTTAAGCGAAGGAGGCACCACACATATCAGATAGCTCAGCCACCATGGGGGACGCAGCAGCTGGGCGATGCCCCCCAAACTATCTGCAGTGAAATCAACCATGTAAGCATTTACAAGAAGATAATTAGATCCCAGAGTTTACATCCTTGATAATCAATAGGGGAAGGGAACAGTTCTCTAGGAACTGGAGTTAACACGTCTGCTACTGGTGTAATTCCGGAACGGCAGAAAATGTATTAACAACCTACTTTTTCCACAGGCAGACAACTCAACACCATCTTATGAGAGGAGAGAACCCTAGCAAATCAGGTAAAGAGCACGGAACCTCAGGCTTTTATCTTCAGGATTCCAGAGGTGGGACACCCAAGCAGAGCACAGAAACACGTGCCCGCAGCGCACTTCTACCCCAGGCACGGAATCTATCTGTCCAAGGTGGCTGTGGTCACAGAAGTGCTTCTAGGCTGATCTCACCGAGACCAGCAAGCCCAGGCTGGAAAACAACAGGAGCCCAGGTGCTCAGGGTTAACAGAAACGGCCGTTACAGTCAAAACACGGGCGCGCCATCTGCAACGACATGGCCTTTGAAGGCGTTTCCAGACCGGATGGCGGATTCCACAGAGAAGTCTCCAAGTGACTCCGTGACCGGCATAGGCAGTGGTAGGAGAGAGATTGCTTTAGATGAAAGTAGCAATTAAAAAGGGCTTATAGCCTACCTGATGAGAGACTCGAGGATGGCAGGGGTGGGGCCTTTCTGGAACTCCAGCTCTTTGTAGTGTAGTGCCTTGGCATATGCTCGGCACTTGGCAGCCCTCTCGCCCAGCAGAACGATGCCGTTGTCGTCTCGCAACGGCAGGGGGCCCTAGGGGAGAGCAGAGCCCGTGACACAAGAGAATGGCAGACGGGGCACAGACAAGAGCTGGCTGCATGGGTGCCTCTCCCCTCCCACCAGCTGGTTCCCTGTCAGGCTCCATCTGGACCGTGGGGAGAAGTCTCACCTTGTCACTGTGTTCCATGAATTCAGCCAAGTTTAGGAGGGTTTGTGTGACTTCGGCGATGTCCTGGGAGGTGAGTGCCAACTCGATGCTCCTGATGAGCTCATCCTGCTGGTCTTCATTCAGCTCAGACCAGCAGGACACGAATGCGGCGTTGAAGAGATCCCTGAAGGCAGAGCAGAATGAGAAAGAGGTTGGGACTGCCTTTCAAGCCTCTGCCTCGTGCCCCAAAGTCACTTCTACTCCTGGCACCGCTGACGTTGGTTACACAGTGCTGTCCGACAGAACTTGCTGGAAATGGTCTGTCTTTCTTGTCACTGAGCACTTGAATTATGA